TCAAAAAAAAAAAAAAAAAAAAAAAAAAGACTTGAGTCCTACGGAATTGGATTCAGTGCATGAGGAAAACAGCGTAACTCCATAATTAAGGTAACTGCAGTCAGGTATTTGTAATATACTACACATGCTATTATTCTGGATAAAAGTATTCTCTATGTGAATCTTGTTTCCTGTATCCTGTACTTTCTTTAAGGTTCTAGCTCAGCAAGATTTAACCTGTATTTCTCTTATAGCTGTTGGACTTCAGTACATGGGGACTTGGAGGTGGTGGGCACAGAATGCATCTTTTTATATTATTTAATCCACCAGAACATCTAGCATGGTCATTTGCCCAAAAGAAAGCCTCAGGAAATGTAGTCAAGTTTAGATTTAAAGTAAAAGATTACTGAACAGAATTTACCATTTACTGTATTCCTGGTTACAAAAATAAAAGATAGAGTTTACGTAATTTTAATATGTAGTTTTTCTAAATAGGAAAAAAAAAATCCACAGTTACTGAGTGGCTGCAATGGGCCAGAAGTCATGGAGTAATTTATGAAGCCTCCAAAAATGTAATATCAATGGTTATCAATTATCTAAAACAAATTAAGAAACTGGAACTAAGAAAATATCAGATAGTACTGCAACCAAAACTTTCCCCACTAGGCATTAATGTTTTAAACAAACAGCCTCACCAGAATTTTCATCAGTTAATTGTGAGGGCTTTATCACCTGAAAGAGCTACCAAAGAAATACTAACATGTTTTAATTTTTCTTATACAATAAAAGAAATGAATGTTTTAAAATTTGCAGGATCTTAAGCTAGCCATGGTGGCTCACACCTGTAATCCCAGCACTTTCAGAGGCCAAGACAGGCAGATCACCTAAGGTCAGGAGTTCAAGAAAAGCTTGGCCGACATGGTGAAACTTTTGTCTCCACTAAAAAAAAAAAAAAAAAAAAAAAAAAAACGCAAAAATTAGCCAGGCATGGTGGCATGTGCCTGTAATCCCAGCTACTTGGGAGGCTGAGGCTAGGAGAATCAAACCTTCGAGGCTGAGGCTGCAGTGAGCCAAGACCATGCCACTGCACTCTAGGCTAGGTGACAAAGCAAGATTCCCTCTTAAAAAGAATAATAACAATAGAATGAAATGTACAGGATCTTATATGGTTGTGAAGTTCTATTTTACTATAATTAGTACTGCAAACTGTACAGAAAAGTAGCTGATATATATACATTGAAATATGACATTAACATTGACAAATTTTAGCCTTTCGGCATACTATTCAAATAATAGCCTTGATTTAACCACATATACACACACAACTTTTTTTTAAGGCATGCACTGAGATAGCAGTAAATAGTACCAGATGTATTTAAAATAAATTGTGATTTTATGAAGATCAAAAGTCTGACTCGTGTCAGATCGTATTTTCTATGTACCTGCTTGCACACTGTATTGTATATCCATTTCAGTTACATAGTTGCCTGCAAGTACTTATGATTTTTTCAAAAAGTATGTAATCTCTGAATAACCAGTAGCTTCATATTACAAAAATAATAACTAAAGCTCTAGACAATTCAGAAATCCCATTTTATTATTTCTCCATACCCTCCCTACTTGACCTGTCAACAGCAAATACTGGTATGTAAAATATTGGAATTTGCACTGTAAAGGTCAAATTCTTTGTTTCTTTGTTTTTATTTTGTAGTTGCCCCAACTAAAAATTGCATACATAAAATGATATACTTCAGAAGATAAGGAAGATTGTCTGTAAATCAGGCAGTGGAAACAAGGGTCATGAAAGGACCAGAGAAAGTTGTTACCCTTGGTTTCCCACACAGGAAAACAGAAAATAAAATCACTGAATTTGATGACTATCTGACAATAATTCACCCAATTGATTGAATTTTTTAATTCAGACACACACACATGCACACACACACACACACACACATGCCCCTAGAGTAGTGGAAAAGAAGACAAATGTTCTAGAGTTCAGTTTAGTTAATGGGACAAAATAATTGATGCTTTAAAATTTTTCTATTGATAATAATTATTCTCAACTCTTAAATGTCATGAAAGCACATTTTCAGAGATAAGTTTATGTTTTGAATTAGAGGAAGTTTTGCATGGAGATGTAACTTCAGAATGAATTGGAAGTACTGAAAAGATTCTCACAGGAAACTGCTCCTGAACAAAGCTGTAAAAAAAAGAAAAGAAATCGAAAGGCTGCATTGTTATTAGTGTCTGTAAATGTGAGCAGACAGTATTATGAAAAGAGGCTACAGGGCTTTCCCTTGAACCTAGAAGTCAATGACTTTTTTAATAAGGTGTATTTGGTTTTTGTTTTTGAAAATGGGCCGGGCGTGGTGGTTCACAGCTATTGACCTAGCACTTCGGGACGCTGAGGTGGATGAATCACCTGAGGTCAGGAGTTCGAGACCAGCCTAATCAACATGGTAAAACCCCCATCTCTAGTAAAAATGCCAAAAAAAAAAAAAAAAAAAATTTAGCCAGGTATGGTAGTGTGTGCCTGTAAGACTAGCTACCTGGGAGGCTGAGGCAGGAGAATCACTGGAACGCTGGAGGCGGAGGCTGCAGGGACCCAAGATTGTGCCACAGCACTCCAGCCTGGTCAACAGCACGAGACTGTCTCAAAAAAAAAAAAAGGTTAAGAATTTAGAAATTTGAGGCTAGAGAAATTAGGGAACCAGTTAGTGAGCAATGGAATCATCCCAACTATGAGAGAATGAAGAGAGAATGTAGAAGGAAGAAAATGTTAGAATTACTGAGACTTCTTTAAAAATCAGCCAGATTTAGGCTGGGTGTGGTAGCTAATGCCTTTAATTAATCCCAGCATTTTGGGAGGCCAAGGACGGCAGATCACAAGGTCAGGTGTTCAAGACTAGACTGGCCAACATGGTGAAACTGTCTCTACTAAAACATACAAAAATTAGCTGGGCATGGTGGCCCCTGCTTGTAATCCCAGCTACTTGGAAGGCTGAGGTAGGAGAATTGCTTGAACCGAGACCCTGGAGGCAGAGGTTTCAGTGAGCCAAGATCAGGCCACTGCACTCCAGCCTGGGCTACAAATCAAGACTCCATCTAAAAAAATAAATAAAAATAAAAAATAAAAATCAACTAGATTTAATGACTGTGTAACAGGGATATTTTAGACCCCCACACAACACCATGAAAATCTGCTTCCTCCAGTTAAAAGAAAGTAGTGACTTCAGGCTAATCCTAAAAATTACTTTTGTGTCAGACCTATGCCATAGCGTAAATACTCTCCAGCAACAAAGATAATATAAAAATCCCTCCACAACTTCCATGCTAAGACATTATTAATCTTTACAAATCTCAAGGTACTTATTACAACTGCTACCAAACTAAGATACGGAAAAAGATTTAAATAACTCCAGATTTCCTTGAAATCAAGTGTGTGTCCTCTGTGGTAAATGAATATGAATTTATATAAATCAGAGCAACTCTAGATCCTTGATTGAATCATTATGTTTAATTCCTTCTGTTGCATTCCAAACACATTGTGAAATGGGTACTTCACAAGGGGCCTGAAATAGAAATACATAAATTCTGCTTCTTTCTCAATACCAGGCCTTTTCCAGTTGATATAACAGAAGTAAAGCAGTTTAAGAATACTAGGAATCAAGAAACTTGTTTGAGACCTAGATCCACCATTTACTGACAGCAAATTTTCATTTCCTGCCATTTCTCTTTTCTAAGCCCCAAGTCTCCTAAAGGTAAAACAAGCATTTTAGCTATACCTAATATCAATGCATTATAACTACCCAAGTAAGGCAGTTAAATAACTGCTTTGTAAAAGTAAGGAACTAGAGGTATATTATAGTCATTTGGACTGTTCTTAAGGAATGCCACATTCCCCACCTAATTCTGTTATTCCTTATCACTTTTCATCAAAAGCCTAAATCTTGTCATTTTCCCACATATCTTCTCCCCATTGGGGATTGGGAAAACCCAAACTGAAGGCCTTAGAAGCACCCTCAGAAGCAGAAGTTTGTCTCTGACCTCCTGCTCTCCTTTGGCCTCTCATTGAGGCTGCACATAAGAACTAGAACCCCTCTTCCCCAAGGTGGTTATAGAAACCAGAACCCCTTTTTCTTCATAAAGCCATAAAACCTAAAAATTTTACTGTACCGTTTCTCCCTCGTTTCTGTGTGAAAGCTAGCCGTAAAGAAGTACGTGTCTTACGTTGTTCGGCTATAGGTCATAAGGCCGTCCCTCATTCCAGAGAGGGTCCTACCCAATACGCAGAAGGAATTTCAGCAGAGGCCAAGAAGAGTCCAGACAGAGGCCTTGCTGTGTTTCCCCAGTCTATTAGCATTAGATGAAACACTCTGGCCAATCACAGTTTACATGGCAGTTGATACTTTGTTGAACCTAAGCATAAAAATGGACAGTTTGCCCTGTACTTCTGGGCCTTCATTCTGCAGGTGCCCATGTCACAAAAGCCTGTAATGAAGTATGACTTTTCTATTAATCTGTCTGTTTTCTGTTGATTTTCATTGAACTTTCAGAGGGTGAAGAAGTTTGGCTCACCCCTACATACCTGTCTTTCCCACTCAATGACACAATCTATTATTTTCAAAAAGATTATTTTGAATAAATATTTCACAAGCAGGCACAGTGGCTTATGCCTGTCATTCTAGCACTTTGGGTGGCCGAGGCGGGCAGATCACGAGGTCAGGAGTTCAAGATCAGCCTGGCCAACATGATGAAACCCTCTCTGTTCTAGAAATACAAAAATTAGCTAGGAACTGTGGTGCATGCCTGTAATCCCAGCTACCCGGGAGGCTGACACAGAATTGCTTGAACCGGGACCTGGGAGGCAGAGGTTGCAATGAGCCAATATCGCACCACTGCACTCCAGTCTGGGCTACAGAGCAAAACTCTGCCTTTAAAAAAAAAGATCACATCCTCCCATTTATTCAGATCCCCTTCTCAATCAAGCCACTCTCATACTGGGAGGTATTTTGGCTTTCTCTACAAAGAAATTGTGTGATGTAGCCGTAGTTCCCAAGAAATTAAGCTCCTGCTAAACTAGAAAAATATCAGGCTACATTTCATTTTGGGGGGCTGGGAGGCAAATAATAATGTAAAATATATTAACTAATAAACATAATGTAAACAAAGAAGTAAGATTAAGAGGCATTATCCTCATAAAGGATTTATAATATTTGGTCCCACTGCAAACTTGTTTAAGAGTTCATGACTTGGACCGGGCACGGTGGTTCACGCCTGTAATCTTAGCACTTTGGGAGGCCAAGGCAGGGAGGGAGGGGGGTGGGGGGATCACGAAGTCAAGAGATCAAGACCATCCTGGCCAACATGAAGAAATTCCGTCTCTACAAAAAATACAAAAATTAGCTGAGCATTGTGGCACACGCCTGTAGTCCCAGCTACTCGGGAAGCTGAGGCAGGAGAATTCCTTGAACCCAGGAGACGGAAGTTGCAGTGAGCCAAGATCACGCCACTGCACTCCAGCCTGGCCAACAAGAGTGAAACTCAGTCACAAACAAATAAAAACAGTTTATGACTTGTTTTTTGCTATGTACTCTAGATTCTGGAAATCTATAGACACGTTCTCAAAACCACATTTTTAAAAAAATATATACAGGGTAAGAAAGGTAGTGACACTAAAAGTTTTTTTCTTAAAGTCTGTATATACTTCAGTTACACGTCAAATAAGATCTAGCAGAAAGTGTAATAATGTTAGTTTGAAAGGTTCACAATTAGTGTAAACTATACCTACAATAAGTACAAAGTGATATGAAAATATCTGTGATTATCATTGATGTGAAATCCAGTGATTACCTGCCTGAACTCACAAAGGAAATACCAAATTGCGTTTAGGATTTGTGAAAATCATGTAATCTTTTCCCATCTAGAGTTCCATAAACATCTGTAGAAATCAGATTATGTCCAGATTTCTCAGCACAGTTAAGTGGGCTTTCCTAAAATCAAAAACAAAATTAAACAACACCTCAGCTTCCCAGATAAAATGGAAATAGTGGTACATACAGGTCAGCCCACCTTCCTAGGGCTCATTTTCTTTGTCTTGGTAACCCCAATTTCAGGTTCCTTGCTGCCTTCCCCAAGGTTTCTCCTTTCATACTTTTCACTATCCCTTAGCCTCAGGGTGATAGCAATACTTATATCCCAGCATACACAAATTTTAATAATCGTGCTCTGGTGAAAAATTTTCTCTAGGAAAAACCAAGCAAATAAAAATCTAAAAATACATTATGATTGGTTAATTCATCAGCAGGCTGTGCAAACCAATGGAAGAGCATGTTTTACAAAACTGAGACACAGACTATGATGACTTCTTCCCCGATTGGCTTAATACTAGAATTGTATTTTTTCCCTAATATTATCTGGCCGCGGGAAACAAGACCAAAATCTCGGCAAACGCAAGACCTGCTCTTCCCACGCGGGCCTACAGTTGCCAGCAGGGTTAATATACCGCGTACTCCGCAAAGACAGCTACTCGAGCGGGTTGGGCCAGCACGCGGGTGTTACCTGGAGGCAGTCCTACAAAGTTAAAAGTAGGCAAAAATAAGTGAACAGCCAAGAGAGACTCTGGGAAAATAAGTCCTGGAGATGCTGGCCACTAACAGAAAAGAAACAATAACCACACTGCCTTTCCGCCTGCCCCCGCCCCCCACCCCCACCGCCTATAGGAAGTGTCGCTCTGTCGCCCAGGTTGGAATGCAGCGGCGAGATCTCGGTTCACTGCAACCTCAGTCTCCCGAGTTCAAGGCTCCGCGTAGTAGCTGGGATTACAGGCGTGCGCCACCACGCCCCGGCGATTTTATGTATTTTTTTACTAAAGACGGGGTTTCACCATGTTGGTCAGGCTGGTCTCAAACTGCTGACCTCATGATCCACCCGTCTTGGCCTCCCGAAGTGCTGAGATTGCAGGCATGAGCTACCGCGCCCGGCCCCAAAATGCGTTTCCAACAACTTACCTGACGGCCGGTACCCCAGATTCGGGAGCGGGTAACAAAGCCTGCGAAAAGACGGGCATTTGGCGCCACCTACAGCTGACCATCGCCAACGATTGGTTACACAAGATCGTGGGCCGCAGGAACCCTTCGCTGGCAACGTCCTCCTCAAAACCAGAAGGGCTGTAGCTCAAAAAGTAATCTCAACACTAAAGTAAAGCAAAGCATTTACACCATATCACTGGTACCAGGAGTAAAATCCTGGTACCTAAAAGTTACAAGCCACTTTTAGGCGCCTCGCTTTAAGAGAAATCAGCTAGCCAATCACACACCACGGCGGGAATTTAAAGAAAAACCCGGGGGTAGTGGCTCAAGTAGCCATAGCTACTCCGGTGGCTGTGGCGGGAGGATCTTCGCACCCAGGCTGCAGGGAACGGTGAGCTTACTTGAACCCCAACTTGCATTGACTAGGGTAGACCCGTCCGCCATTCCCACGCCACCCCCTTCCTCTAAGAAAACAAGTTACAGCTCTTTTTACTGAGATCTCTAGGTGGCTCTGAAAAGAGCCGTTTAAATTTTCAAAGAGGAACGTCCCGCCAGTTTCACTTTTTCTTCGGAGCCGCCTTCTTCGCCTTTGTAACCTTCGGCTTCGCCGCTTTAGGCTTGGCTGCCTTGGGTTTAGGAACTTTGGCCTTGGCCGGACTCTTGGCAGCTTTCTTCGGCTGTGATGCTTTCACCTTTTTCGCACTCTTGGCAGGTTTCTTGGTCCCAGCAGCTGTTGCCCCCTTTCTTGCTTTCTTATGGGACTTCTTGACGCTTTTCTTGGGGGTAACGGCACCAGTCGCCTTCTTGGCTTTCTTGGCTGCCCCTGCGGGCTTCTTAGGCTTGGCTGCGCCAGCCTTCTTAGCCTTAGGCTTAGCTTCCCCGGAAGCCGCCTTCTTGTTGAGTTTGAAGGAGCCAGAAGCACCAGTGCCTTTAGTCTGCACCAGGGTGCCTTTGCTCACCAAACTTTTGAGGCCAAGCTTGATGCGGCTGTTGTTTTTCTCTACATCGTATCCGGCAGCCGCAAGCGCTTTCTTAAGCGCGGCAAGAGAAACGCCGCTGCGCTCCTTGGAAGCTGCCACTGCCTTGGTGATGAGCTCAGACACTGGGGGTCCCGATGCCTTGCGTTTTCCAGCCGCTGCGCCTGCTTTCTTCACCTTCTTCTTCACAGGTGTTTTTTCCGCGGGTGCAGGAGTGGTAGGAGCCACTGGAGCAGTCTCCGACATGTTGCTGCCTTGCCAAAGACAAAAGTAAGCTCAAAGTGTCAGAGCGGCTTGTCCTCTCCGGCGGAGGCTGAGGGTTTATATAGAGAGACGCTGAGCGATGATTGGTTCCCTGCTCCATGCGCGGCCCTGCTGGAAAAGGACTCTTCGGCTCTACTGCGCTGCTGTGTTTGTTGCCCCTTAAAAAAGAGTAAAAATATAAGAAATCTGAGCAGGAAATAATTAGGGATTTGGGGGAAACTGACCCGAGAGGCTTCGGGCTTCCTTCCTGCCTTAGTTTCTGTGCATAGTTTTAAAACTGGCATCTTCAAAGTTTCCTTATTCCCCCAACTCTCTTTCAAACTTCAGTCAAATCGAGACAACTTTCAGGTTTTCCTTAAAAATACTATTTTTCCCTCTTTCATTTGCAAATGTCTATTCCAGGACATTGTTCCCTACATTCTTATCTTCTTGACTTTATACAGGTAAACTCATTTTTACACAAATGTGTAGGAAAATTGGTTTTTTTCGCAAGAACAGTAGCACAGGCTCTCTGGCGAGCTGTTTGCATCAAGCTCTAGGAACTGGCACTGGGGTAGAAAGTTCTATGTACAAGAAGGGTGATTATTTTAGAAAAGACGGGTTTTTTTGTTTGGTTGGTTTTTGTTTTCAAACAGCATTTAAGTTACTAGTATGTAAGCTGGATTTGATCTCAATATTTTAGTGGTTTAAAAATTTCCAGAAGGATCAGGGTGGGGTTACATCATTCTTCTTATAGAAAAAAGTCCTAAACAGTGACCAATCTTCTCTTAAAAGTTAGGATCATGGATTTTTCAGACCTAAAATAGGCATTAAAGATCAACTACCACATCTCCTTAAAGAAAACTGAATCAAGAAATAATAGAATGGCAGGCCAACATCATGTTACCAACTGTGAGCACTGAGAGCGAGAGCTTCTGAGCATTAACAGTTCACATGTTCCTGTCCCATCACTTTAAAATTGTAAATAATTTAATGGAAGACTTTTTTTTTTTTTGCCAATATTCACCATAGAATTTTGTACATATTTTTATACTTTAAAGTCACATTTAAAATACAAATTTTGGTTCGTCTTTCTCTCTCTCTCCAACCTGGTTGAATAAATGGTAAAAATCACTATTTACTAAAATAAAATACAAATTTCAACATTACAAGTGTGGACATTGAGGATTAGAGAGGAAAAAAATCTCATTACAATCACTTTCAAAATTTTCATCATTCTCCTTGGACTTTTTACTCACAAAATATAAACTGAGCTGTCACACCCAAAATTAATTGGTTGAATATGTCCACCTAAGGAGCTAAACAAACATTTCACAGCAAACATGAGTAACTTCACTATTCCTTATCTTTCAGTTTGCAATGCACATGATGGAATTAGGTTATTATTGGATAATTAAGCATAAAATTAATATTTTCCATCAAATAATTGGATGCTGAAATGAACTCCTATGTTTGTTAAATAAACGAGTAATTTGATATTCTGTTTCTACTAACAAAAATACTCATATTTCAGAAAATCAAGTTATTTTGGCCTACCCTCCATAGTGATTAGAGGACTTTTTCATGTAAATCCTAGGTAAATTCTTTCCCAAAGAATTTGGGGAAAAAAATCCTAGATAAAATAATCAACTTTGAAGATGTCATCTCTCCTCATTCAACTAATTTCATTAAAATTACTTAAATTGTCTTAAGTAATCATTTACTCTCTTGCACAGATTGGAAACAAGTCTCTGGGACTTAAGACCATGTTATATACCACAAAAATAAAAATATGGTTTCTAACAGAGGAAAACTTATAGACTTGGATTTGTCGAAATCAGTAATTCCTGTAGGGAGGCATTTTATGGGTTTCTGGAGGAAGGGGCTGTGCATCATTATGGATATCATTTTCAACAGTGACAGTCACAGGTATAAGCATTTCTTTTTCCAGTCCATAGCTTTATAATCTCTAGACACTAAGATAGATTTAAAATTAAGATTGCTGGCTGGGCGTGTGACTCAACACCTGTAATCCCAGCACTTTGGGAGGCCGAGGTGGGTGGATCACGAGATCAAGACATCAAGAGATCAAGCTGATCCTGGCTAACACCGTGAAACCCTGTCTCCACTAGAACACACACACACACACACACACACACACACACACAATTGTCTGGCCGTAGTGGTGGGTGCCTATAGTCCCAGCTTCTAGGGAAACTGAGGCAGGAAAATCCCTTGAACCCAGGAGGCAGAGGTTGCAGTAAGCCGAGATCGAGCCACAGCACTCCAGCCTGGGCGACAGAGCAAGCCTCTGTCTCAAAAAAACACAACTCAGATTGTTTACTGTTTATTATTTTGATTATTATTGTAGTCTTAATAAGAGTTATTGAATAATTTTTGCAATTGTTCACCATATTAGATATAGTGAATTAACAGATGCCACCATTTCATTCTTGTGCAACACTGACTGGTTCCCATGGCTACTTAGGGTCTCAGTAAGTAAAAAGGTATTTGGGCTAACTAATCTCCGCTGAGACCAGGCCATTGCACTATATCCTGGGCAAAAAGAGCGAAACTCCATCTCAAAAAAAAAAAGTATGCTGGTTTGATGTCTGTCCCCTAACCCTGAGTTTGCTTTTCCCTTTTCTAAACTTTTAAGTTTTTTAAGAGAATAAATTGATCATCTTTGTAAACCTGGTATTTGTACACCATTCTTCGTATTTAGAGGACGTTAAATTACTGAATGAATGAATGATCCTTTGGTGCCTACCTCAAAAAGGAGAGCATTAGAGATCTCTGTGTCTATGCCTACAGGCAAATGAACCTAAGCCAAAATTTAAGTAGACTCTTAACCTCAAAATGAAGAATGTTTTCACTGACTTTAGGTATCAGCAGAGAAGAAATTTTTAAGTTACCCCTGCAGTATATCGGAGGCAATGAATGTGAAGGTGTAGAATATAAGTTAATGTTGGAATTTTTCTACTACACATCATCTATGATCTGTGCGTAAATTTATTCAGGAATCTTTTATTAGCACAGTCTTTCACAGAATTGATTAGTATTTTTGTTAATTTGCAAACCTTTATTCGTCATGATTTCCCATGTATGCTTTACTGGCAGGAAAGCAGTTGTAGATAGCAAAACAATGAGACTACAAAATTGAGCCCAAGAATACAATACCACTTATTAGATGATTATGTCTTCAAGCCTCAAATATTGCATTATACATTGGAATACTAAGAATGTAAATTCAATTAATATTGGTTTCCCTTCTTACAGATCCTATTTTATTAGGAATGCCGAAAACGATGTGAATGCCTATTTCTCTGTCAAACGCAGTCTCATGATCGGCCAAATTTAATAAGTATTGCTTGCTATATTTTTAAAATTAATAAAAATACATTTTAAAGGAATCTTAACGTTTAAAAATTAAGGCCGGGAGCGATGGCTCATGCCTGTAATCCAAGCACTTTGGGAGGCCAAGCAGGGGCCGATCACCTGAGGTCAGTTCAGACCAGCCTTGTCAATATGACGAAACTCCGTTTCTACTAAAAATACAAAATTTTAGCCAGGCGTGGTGGCACGCGCCTGTAGTCGCAGCTACTCCGCGGGCTGAGGCAGAAGAATCGCTTGAACCCGGGAAGCGGAGGTTGCAGTGAGCCGAGAACCCGCCACTGCACCCCAGCCTGGGCTACAGAGCGAGACTGTCTTAAAAGAAATAGTTACGTTATTTTCTTGTCTATCCATTTTGTAGACAAGTGTATGTAGGGTTACTGCCTCCTTTTTACAAATGTTAAGGCTGTTAAGAGACAAACATAATCAGTTCTTTGAGAGCCAACAGGCACTAGACTGGAGGACACAGAAACCTGCACACAAGACCAAAACAAGGAAACAGAAAGGAATCAAACCGAGTTGCATTTCCCCGCCCGCTTGGTTCCTTAGACCACAGTGTCGGGGACGCCCAGTAAGGTAGGGAAAAGGCGGAGACACAGGTTTCGTTCCCGCCCCTCCATTTCAGTCTCCAAAAAGGTCCGCATTATTGATATATAAGGGGCTTCAAGAAGTACTGAAGTTGCAGAGGTAGGGTTGCAGTTTGCTTGTGGTCATGTCTGGCAGAGGGAAAGGAGGTAAAGGCTTGGGAAAGGGAGGCGCCAAGCGGCACCGGAAAGTGCTGCGTGACAACATCCAGGGCATCACCAAGCCCGCCATCCGGCGCCTGGCCCGACGCGGCGGCGTAAAGCGCATCTCGGGCCTTATTTATGAGGAGACCCGCGGGGTGCTCAAGGTGTTTCTGGAGAACGTGATCCGGGACGCCGTGACTTACACGGAGCACGCCAAGCGCAAGACGGTCACCGCCATGGACGTGGTGTACGCGCTCAAGCGCCAGGGCCGCACCCTCTACGGCTTCGGCGGCTGAGCCTCATTCTGGCTTGCTGTTGACTGCTCTCCCACAAAAGGCCCTTTTCAGGGCCACCTCCTTCCTCAAACGAAGGGCCGTAACTGCTCACCACGAAGACGTAGGCGATGTGAGTTTCCTTTTGTAAACTTTCTGGGGTTGTAGCAGAGTTAAACCAAGCCGTTTTGAGCGATCCTCCCAAGATGGCGGGTGTCGGGTGTGCCCCGGACAAAAGGAAGGCGGGAAAACATTAGGAACTTGGGTATTTCTATCTCAGGCCTCCACGGAGAAAGATGGTGGAAATGATTTAAGAATACCAGCAGTTTTGTGATGTATGGGATGTGTTTTATCCTCGGGTTTCTAAAATTTAACTGATTCTGTATTAGGTGGCGGGGTTTTATTACACTAGCATTACGTGTTATTAGTCATAGTACCTGAATGATCTCATCTGTTCGGGACAGGTCAATCACTGGTAAACTTAAAAATCCAGTATTTGTGGCGGGGCAGGGTGCCTCGCCTGTAATCCCAGCACCTTGGGAGACCGAGGCGGGCGGATTACTAAAGCTCAGAAGTTCCAGACTAGCCTGGGCACAAAAATGGTGAAACCCCGTCTACTGAAAATGCTAAGTACGAAAGTTGGCCCGGCGTGGCGGCGCTCGCCTGCAGTCGCAGCTATTCTGCAACGGCTGAGGCAGGAGAATCGCTTCAGCAGGGGAGGCGGAGGTTTCAGGGATTGCGAGATGGCACCGCTGCGCTCCAGCCTGGGCGACAGTGAGACTGTCTCAAAGACGAAAGAAAGAAAAGAGAGGAAGGAAGGAGGGAGGGAAAGAGCCGTTTCCCCGCCGAGCTCGGTGGCTCAAGGAGTTCGTGACCACTCTAGCCAACATTGCAAAACCCCGACTCTACGTGGTGGCACGCACCTGTAATCCCAGCCACTCAGGAGGCTGAACCCGGGAGGCAGAGGTCGCAGTGAGGCGAGGTCGAGGTCGTGCCAATGCACTCCAGCCTGGGGCACAGAGCAAAGTATCTTCCAGTCAGACCTCCAGACTTATTTCCACTTTCTCCTCCAAGCCCTGGGCTTTGAGAGACTAACTGTATGGATCTTATCAATGTGCTACCTGGACCTCCTCCTTCTGGTAGGATTCAGCCAGTGGAAACTCCATGCAGGAGACTGGAGGGAAGAAAGAATCAGATGGGGTATTTATTCGCCAGTTTCCCTTTCAGGTGTCACCATAGGCTGCTGCATCCCTCTCTCCAGGCCACAAGTCCTGTCAGGGACCCCCTCTGTGCAGCTCTAATGACTGCTTCTCATACCCCTTCAGGGTTGTAAGTGATCCTTACTATACCTGGATGGAGACACTATTTTTTTAGGTTTCTGTATCCTGCCCTCAATTTGCTAAGAAATCTTCCTCATATTATCCCCTTTGAGTAGGCTGTTTCCGGTCTTGACCTTAACAGAACACAATGTTTTCACTACACAGCACAAAGTTTATGGCCGCTATATCCAAAATAATTGATGTAACTTAAATGCAAATTTCTCTGTGTCATACCTCGTTAACATGCTTCCAACAGCATTAGGTTAATTCTCATTTTCTCAGTTTGCAAGGGGAAGTCCTCGTCACTCAGTCAACTGCCAGGCCTGTGTTTTGTTCATATATGCATTCCCAGTGTCCATGGCATCCAACTACTTATTGCCACTCGTGTCTTCACACTACTGTAGACCTACACTCTGCCAACATTACTTGAAATGCCCTGGTCCCCTGTCGTTCCCCTCTGCTGATCAGAGCCAGAGCAAGAGAAATAAATGCATGCTTATGACAAGTGTCATGCAGCTGAGTGTCCTGCTACTTGATCCTATTCTGCAGATAGGTCTTTTATACTCACCTGTTGAGAGGCCTCTCTCCTGATGGTGCCAGAGTTTTTAGCAGTTTTGTTATCTGCTACTGTATCCCAGATTTTTATTATAAAAATATTCTGAAAAAATACATGATAAAAGATGTGTTTATCAATCATCCACCACCTAGATTCAATAGAGTGTACTTTACCACCATCTGAAAGCAAATGACAGACTCATGATACTTTAAACCTATATACTTCAGCATCTAATTCCTAAAAATAAGGGAAATTACATGTAATCTCAATACATCAAAATTTTCTTTAAAAACTTACTAAAATGGCCGGGCGTGGCGGCTCATGCCTGTAATCCAAGCACTTTGGAGACCAAGGTGGGTGGATCACCTGAGGTTGGGAGTTCAAGACCAGCCTGACCGACACAGTGGGGAAAAAAAAAAAAAAAAAAAAAAACCTAAAAAACCTTACTAAAATGACCTATTATCCAGTCCACATTCAAGTTTGCTTGGTTGACTCCAAAACGCCCTTTGAAACATCTTTGGAGACAGAATGCAATGAACACATTGTTTAGTTGCTGTGTTACTTTAGTCTCCTTCAGTCTTTTGTTGGCGACTTTTTCAACAAAGCAATTGTCTCAAATGTCCACATTCTGGAGGATTTTTCCCCCTTTTGAGATGTTTAATTGGCTCTTTGATCTCCATACTCTCTCAAACAGCAATTGAGACATAACTTATTGCAGTTACACCTTTATCGAAGTGTTTCTATATTTACAATGGATCACAAGCAAAGGTGTGGGTAACGCCGCATATAGGCATCAAGGAAGGAGAGCTAAGCAGAACCCTGGCACAACTAAGGCCTGAAGAATATCTCAGTTTATAGTGTCACTACTCAGTTATTTCCTTTTATATAATCCTTTATATAATCATAAATTAGTTTATAGAATTAGGGCTTGAAGATTATCTCAGTTTGTAGTGTTACTACTCAGTTATTTCCTTTTATATAATCCTCTGCTTATAATCATATAATAGTTCATAGTATGTATGCCTAAAGAATATTTCCCTACATATATATATAATTATATCTTAGTTCATAATCAAAGGAATTCCTAGAGTAGACACAGTACAGAACATGAATTAAGGAATAAGCATCTTATAATGGGAGAAAAGGACAAGAATCCATGGCCCAGGTGGCAGCGTTCAGTATCGTAAAGATACCTGCTATATGGCAAGCTTGAGGCAAGAGCCACTCCTCCTGTTAAAGGAGTTGTAGGACCTTGCTCCAGTTCTTGTGGAAGGCTGCCGTCAGACTGGAAATCACACCTTGGTGATTGAATTTTATCAGCTCTTGTTACTGTGCTGCTGGAAAAGCATTCCCCTATAGAACTCATTGGAAGCTGCCAGCAGGTGGCGTAGACCCTGACAGCGCTGTCAATGCTGTGTGACTTAAAGTATCCTCCTATAAATCTTCTTAGTAGTTTGCCCATAGATAGAGGTATTGCACTCTGCACCTCTTCACTGCTCACGGCCCACCTCTGTGCCTTGGTGACCTAAGGTCACCCCTCACTGCACACAGCCCTCGCCTCAAAGACCTAATGGGAATGGACCCCTTGCTGCGCACTGTCCACCTCTAAGCCTAGGTGACCTAATGGAGTGGACACCATGTTTCATTGCTCACAACCCTATCACTATCCTTAAAGATGACTTCAATCACTGCCCTGTCCCCTAACCTATACACAATAAATGCGCTTCTGGACATTCGGGGCCTCGCTTGACTTCACTCATAGGTAGTGTGGCCCCCTGAGCCCAGCTGCATTTTCCTTGTACTTCTGTGTCCTGTCTGTTTATTTCTCGGATCCTGCACCTTAGCACAGCATAAGGGACACCCCACTACCCTGTGGGGCCATCAGCCCTACAAAAGGCACAAAACAGGAAAACTTCTTTCAGTGCTGCTAAATTAGATCATTGAACCAGTAAGGGAGCCAGTCCCTCCACTGCAGACACATTTGTCAGAATGACACCTGCTAATTTGTTTATGCAAATTATGCTGTTTTTGCTAATTGCTGGGTATTCTGTGGTTACTTAAATGGCTTATTAAGCAGAATGTAATAAAGTTGGGTCAGCACTAAAACTACAACTTTAGTTACAGAGTGTAATCATAATAGTAATGAGAAAAACACTACCATAACCACATTTTAAAAGCTTGTAAGTGACAATGTAGCTGTTGATGTCCTCAGCCAGCCCACCAGATTTCTAATCTCTAAATACATGATTAATTTACAACCTGTGTTTCATGTTTATCAGGCTTAGTGTAAACTTATACTTTACAGCATTCTACACTTACAGCTTTTGGGCACCCACAGCATTAAAACACACAATATTGCTTAGTAAGTTAAGTTTCCACAATTTCAAGCGAGAGCCCTTCAGGAGAAAACCTAAGCGGTCCTGAAAAGGACCATTAACAATGCTGCAAAAAAAGTCTGGCCTCACTTAAGGGCCAAAGCCTTGCAGGGTTCGACCCTGGGGTTTGAGAGCGTAGACCACGTCCGTGGAGGTGACGATCTTGCGCTTGTCATGCTCCGTGTCAGTCACAGCGTCCCGGATCACGTTTTCCAGGAACAGCTTAAGCACCACCCGGGTCTCCTCATAAATGAGGCCGGAGATGCGCGTGACATTGCCACACTGAGCCTAAGCCCTGGATAGCGGGCTGCGTAATGCCCTGAATTACCTTGAGCGCGTTGCAACGGCCGTTGGTGTCGCCTTTCCTACGGCCCTTTTCCCCCTTGCCCCGAACAGACGTGATAAACACGTGAGAACTATCCCTAAACAAAAGAATTACTCGCTTTTCGCAGCATTTTATATAACGATGTAGCGCCCCTTTTCGAAAACTGAAAGACCAGGAAAGGCAAGAAAACGCATTCAGTCCCGGCTCCTCTACTACCAGTAATACCAAGGCATAAGAAATAATGGAGTAGGGAGGTTTGCTGTCATTTAGAGAATAAGAATCTCTAAACCAAAGTGTCAAACATGTACACAGAGGAGAGTATCTCGGTTTTTGATGTCTGTATGTGTTTAAAGATCTACTTCTTCTGTATACGTTAGAGCACTTCCCAAGTTAAAACAAGTCCAAATTCCAAGAAGTAAAAGAATTCGTTATCATATTGCCACACCGCCCAGCTAAAGAGAAGTAGTCTGGTTTTTGGTTTCCAATCTCTGAGTGGCTGCTCCCTAACGAATATTGGATGTGTTAATCTGAGTCTCAATGGCCCTGTCTGTAAAAAGGGTAAATACTTGTTAATAATGGAGTTACTTTAAGTAAAACACCGGTATATAGACTGTAAATAAATTCTTTTTTTTCCTTTTTTTTTTTTTTTTTTTTAGATGGAGTTTTGCTC